TCTGCGCTGGTTAGAGCTCAAGTTGAGGAGTTCACGAAGTTCGAAACTCACATCCCGAGTAATCGGTTAGACAACAGCAGCTCTAGCCAACAGCAGCAGCGGGGTAAACCTTCCCGTAAATGGACTGGAAAGCAAGAGAACGCAGTTAGTGACGGTACGAACAAAAGTGCGGCAACCTCGTCGCAAGCCGAAGCTGCTGCCAGCAAGAGCCGAGCTGATCAAGGTGATCGCAAGAACAAAGGGCCCAGTAGTGACGTGTCTCGCCATGTGCGCTCCTGCTTTAAATACAGCGATTTATCTCACTCGGGTATCCCAGTGTCCGCAGGTCACTGATTTTGCCGAGGCAGAGCAGCTATATGAGGGGAAAACAGGCAAGAAAGATCGGCCAGAGAAGATCGTGGGTATAGCGCGGCTGCAGGATTCCACCCACTCATCGCTAAGTAGGACGCTGACATGTCGAGTGATGGACAGTGTTGATACGATTATCAAGCCTGATAGCGGCGCTGAAGTTAGCATGATAGCGCCGTGCCTTGTGGAAAAACTCAGAGCAAATCAAGTGTGGTTGCCACGAAGGAACTTGAGCCGTCCACAGGCTGTAAAGGGGGTTGGCACTACGCCTATCACAATTACAGAAGAAATGATTTTTTCCTTGCGGTTCGAGACGCCTGGCGGTCCGCTGGTCTTGAGAAATGTGAGCTGTTTGATCTCCCCGGACCCGTTGCCAGATCGTGTTGGAGATATCTTACTGTCTGATTCGGTAATGGAACGTTTGGGCTACGATCCGCTCAAACTGATTGAGTCTGCCCGGAGGGTCCAGCCTGAATACGATCTCAGCGATTTGGGTGGGACCGACAGTGACGCAGATGTATTCGCTTTCGGGATACAAAAGACGGATTTAACGCCTGAAGAAAAAGGGCTGAGTGCAGCCGAGGATGCTGCGTGTTTTTCTGTGCCAAATGCGGCGAATTCAGACGTTGAAAAGGTCAAGGCAGCGCTAAGAGAGGGCATTGAGGATGCTAAATCTAAAGGCGCGTCTCCTGAGTTTCTGGAGGAGGTGCGGAAGCTGTTAGAGGATCATATCGACGTGTTTAGTATGGCACTGGGTGGTGATCCACCTGTCGATATGCCACCAATGCGTATCAAGCTCAAGCCCGAAGCGACTCCAGTTCGATGTCACTCACGACGATATTCAGCTGCTCACCGTGAGTTTCTCGCTCGCCGCGTGAAAATGCTGATCGATGCCGACCTTTGTTACAGGAATCCATCCAGTGAGTGGTGTTCACCACCCCATGTAGTGCCAAAAGACGACGATCACCGGATGACAGTCGACGTTCGGGAAGCGAACAAGCGTGTTGTACCTGTAGTTTGGCCGATGCCCATACTGGAAGTCGAATTTGATCGACTAAAGGGCTGCAAGTTTTATTTTTCCGTGGATTTTTTCAAAGGTTTCTGGCAGTTTGGTGTTGCGATCGATTGCCGGGAAATTTACTCAATTCTCACGGAAATGGGAGTGATAACTCCTACTCGTGTCCTCATGGGGTGAACGAACAGTGTGGCGTACGTACAGTCCACGGTGCAAGCCATGTTCGGAGATCTATTTAATAACAACCTTCTTATCTGGATTGACGACCTTCTCAGTTACGCAGATTCGCCGGACAAACTGCTGGAGATATTGCGGAAAGTGCTTACTATCTGTGCTAAAAACGGTCTGAAGCTCAAGCCCTAGAAATGCAAGTTTTTCATGACTGAGGCGCTCTGGTGCGGCCGTGTGGTCTCAAGCGATGGTGTCCGGCATGACCCAGCACGAATCCTGGCTTTGCGCAATCTACCTGCGCCGACAACGGGCCAAGAATTGCAACAGTTTATGCGCGCTCAATTGGATGCGCATGTCAATCCCAGCCTTTAACAAGCTGGTCAACCCACTGGTAGTGTTCATGGAAAAATTGTACGCTGCCGCTGGTGGTCGGAAAAAGTCGATGGTGCGACGAGTGGTGCTAAAGGATGTGGGCTGGTCTAACGTAGAAATTGCTGGATTACAACACTGCAAAGATGCGCTCGAAAATGCGCTGACATTAGCGCATCCAGATCCTGAAAAACGTTTGTGTGTTTTTGCGGATGCCAGTGATTTACATTGGGGCGCAGCGATCACGCAAGGCCCAGTGGATCATCTCAATCGAGATTTCGAGGGCCAAAACCATGAGCCACTCATGATGCTAAGTGGGACTTTTTTTTGTGGGGCTAAGCGCTGGGCGATTGTTGAAAAAGAGGCTTTTGCTATCGTGGAAACCTGCAAACGAGCAGATTATCTCGTTCGTCGTCCGGATGGATTTAATCTGTATACCGACCACAGGAATTTGCGCTACATATTTGCGCCCACAACAGTGTTCTCTGGGTTCCGAAATATACGGCAGATAAACTTCACCGGTGGTCGCTGTTGTTAATGTCGCTGGACTATGAAATACACGACATATCGGGGGAAGCCAATGTTTGGGCGGATCTTCTGTCCCCTTGGGGATCATCTTTCGCTACGGTGGCAGCAAATCGGTTGACATCTCTCCCTACTTCACCTCAAGTGGATGAATCGATCGTGTGACCTACCCTAGGTCATATCCAGACAGCACACGAGAATGCGGATCATAACATGCCGGCAGAACTAGTGAAAGGGGCGGACAATATCCTACGTGATCTCTCCGGGCGAATTTGGGTGCCGGACGTATCAACGGATTTGCAGCTACGTCTGTGTATCATCGGTCACTTTGGAGCCACAGGACATCGTACCACCGATGTTACTTTAAAACACATCGCGGACAAGTGTTTTTGGTCGGACCTCGTGGCAGACGTGAAAGTTTTTGTGTCCAAGTGCCTGCATTGCGCAAGTATATCGGGGGGACCACCATTTCCCCGGCCGCTCGGCGAAGCCCTTCACGCAGAAAAACCGAATGAAGTTCTCCATTTTGAATACCTATCTCTTGGTGAGCCCACGACTAGACAAAATTACGTTCTTGTATTAAAAGATGATGCAGCCAATTATGTATGGCTAGTTCCTGCACTTTCAGCGACCGCCGATACTACTTACGACGCATTACTGGATTGGTTTGCAGCTTTCGGAATTTGCCATACTTGGGTATCTGATCAAGGAACACATTTCAAGAATCTGATCATTCAAGCCTTGCAACAAGCTCTCGGAGCCCAACATCACTTCACCACAGCCAGGTGCCCCTGGGCCAATGGTACAGTGGAGGTGGTGATGCGAGAGGTGCTCCGTTGTTGTCGTGCAATGCTTTCCGAATGGCGATTAGCTGAAGCAGAGTGGCCAAGGGTGGTAAAGATTGTCCAGCTGGTGCTCAACCAATCCCTTTCTCATCATTGAATGGGGTAGCGCCAGTCACGGTCATGACGGGTATCCCAGCAATGAACCCTGCGGAGCCGATCGTCACCCCAATTGGAGTTGAGCCGGCGACGATAGAAGACATTAAAGAAATTCGTGGTGTCAACTTCAAGAAGTCGAAGGAGGCTTTGGAAAAAATGCACAAGAACGTGGCAGAAGCTCGTAACCTCGCACGCAAAAATGGTCGAAAAAAGGCAGCCAAGCGCAGTTCTGAAATGGCGCAGTTCGCTATTGGGGATTTCGTTCTTTATGCAGACGTCTGGGCTCACCGTCGCTCTAAACTACGGGTCAAAGGGTGCGGCCCAGCACGTGTGGTTGATACTTCGTCCAATTGGATATTTGTTGTCGAAAACTTGCTGACCGGAGAGCGTCGCGAAGCACACGCCAGTCGTCTAAAGTTTTTTGCTGACGCTGAACTTGGAATTTCCGAAGATTTACTCGCTTAAGTAGCTCACAACAGTGAAGGCCATGTGGTGGAGGAACTCAAAGAAGCGCGTTACAATAGCACGGCGAAGACGCATGACCTGCTTGTCAAATGGAGAGGTCTCACAGAAGAGGAAAATTCCTGGGAACCAGTCCAGAACCTGATCGAGGATGTTCCAGTATTCGTAAAGCAATTTCTTACCAACAACCAAGACATTCCGGCGATAGTGAAGCTCATGGAAGACCTCAACTGGTCTACAATGTAGACCCTGCACTTCAGCTTCATCGAAGGGGGAAGTGTTGTTTGCTGTCGACGCACTGTCGTCAAAAGCAAGCACGTTGGCCTTCAGAAACCAACGCGATAGCAGTTAAGAAACCACTAGGAACCCCTAGAAAAAGCAGCTAGATAACTCAATTCACTTCATATTTTCACTTCAAGTCAACAGAGGGAACATTAACAAACTCACACTGCACCATAAAAACACCTTTCATTACTTGTTTAATAGACTGGATTCAAAAGTTGCTCAAAAGTTCGCAACACTTTTCACGACAATGTTACCGTAAATTAAATTTTACGACATTCAGATTTGCGTACAAATTCTTCTTGAAGTGACAGCATTTCAGAAATCAGAATACGTTGCAAATTTGATCGCTTCAGACGAAAAAAATATCATCGGGGGCAGCTAACTGCACGAGATAAAAGAAGCTACATTGCCTAGTATCCGGACACCGTATTGTTATCCGCCATCCCTTCGACTTCGCGACGGCATTGACGTCAAGTAGATGAAAGAGGGAAAATTACGATGCTCTTTTCGGACCCCACTCATAAACCGGCACATAACTTTTGAAAGACAAAACCGAACTCGTTTTGGTCACAGCTTCAATCCGGTAAATAGTTGCTCTTTAAGCTTCATTGCGCTCTTCCTCAATAACTCATCGTATCGTGTCCCTAATTACCTAGAATGTCCACGCTTCTTCAGCACAGTACGTTGACTGTACATGTACGTTAGCGTGCACTAACACGCCATACGTCTCAATCATTTCTTTCCCTCATCAACGGGCTATATAAAAGTTCGACAACTAAAATTACTCTTCGTTTGATACTCCCAATTTGGAGAACGACTCGTGCAGTCTTTACATTCTGATTTTGTACGAATAAGCGACAACTTGTTCAGCGTGATAGGAGTCTATGGTGAAGTGGCACATTGGCACCTACGCTCGGTTGCGGCCTCCTCGCCGAGGACATGACTGTGCTAAGTTTGATCTCGGTATGCGCTGCGTTTGCGGGCTAAAACTAAACTGATATGCTACGAAACTAAGGTGCTCTTTTGTTGTCTGATAGAAAGGGTTGGCGATGGGCGATTTAGCAAAACGGTGATTGCGTTTCCTCCTCCTGATGACGACCAGCCTCGAATGCACCTGAAGCAGCGTGATGGCGTCGACTTCCACTATAATGACGTTTTTGATCCCAGCGTCTCGCAGGAGCAGGTTTTCAACGAAGTCTGCCTCGTATGTGTCTCCTTATCTTCGCTTCAATTGTGTTTTAGGTTGATTGACTTTTGTGTTGTCGGTAGGATATCGTGTTCAGTGCTTTGGACGGCTACAATGGGACTATTCTTGCTTATGGGCAAACTGGCTCGGGCAAGACGTACACAATCACGGGAGGTGAACACTATGCCGACCGCGGTATTATTCCTCGTGTACTCTCCACTATCTTTGAGGAATTCGAGAAGCGACCAAACATGCGCTATTCATGTTATATTTCCTATCTTGAAATTTACAATGAAAATGCCTACGACTTGCTGGATCGGTAAGTTGTTGGTGTCATCATCGTTAGTATTGACACTAATCTTGTTCATGTTTATATTTTATAAGCTCTCACACGGATCAGCCGATTGAAGAGTGGACGAAAGTTCATCTTATGGATGATGACGAAGGAGACATGCATTTCCGAAATTTGGGGTTAGTTAACCTGCATATTTTTATATCGTTATGCAGAATGCTAACTGATCCGCTGTGCTGTAGTGTTTTTGAGGCCGTATCCGAAGAAGAAGCTCTGAACCTTCTCTTCCTTGGAAACATGAACCGCGTTACGAGTGATACCCCCATGAACCAGGTAAAAAAAGAGAGAGTAAGGTCGTTGTCGGTCTCGTTTTCAAACGATCATACGCTTTTTGGCAGGCATCATCGCGCTCGCATTCAATCTTCAGTGTCATGATCGAGTCCCGTCCAATGGACTCGGACTTAATCGTCACGTCCAAGCTTCACTTAGTTGACCTAGCGGGCTCTGAACGTGTCTACAAACGAGAAGGGACGCAACGAATGCGGTCTGAAGGCAAACATATCAACCTTTCTCTTCACCACCTTGAACAGGTAATTATTTTTGGTAAACATTTGTAATATTTTGTTTTTTTCTAACACGTTAAAAATGCAGGTGATCTTATCACTTAGAACCAAAAAGAACGCAGTGTCAAAGACGTATCACATTCCGTACCGCAACTCGATGCTTACATCTGTACTCCGTGGCAGTCTGGGCGGTAATTGCAAGTCGGTGTTCATAGCAACACTTAATCCGGAGACTGATTTTCTGGATGAATCCATTTCGACTTGTCGCTTCATGCAACGCTGTTCTGAAGTAACTGTGGATATTGTAGTGAACACCGAGGTGGACACTGAGAAGCGTTTGGAGGTAGTCGAAAAACGCAACGCTGAGCTCGAGACAACGAATCTTGAGCTACTGCAGAGAGCAGTCCAACTTGAGAACGACATCAAAGACCAAGCTCTTCACTTTGCTAAACAGGAACAACAATGGGGACGGCGTCTTACCTTATCGCAAGAAGAGACCCAAGCTGCTTTGACTGTAGCAAAGATTGCTCAAGAGAAATTGGATCAAGTGGCCTGGATGCAGTGTGAGGAGATCGTCGAAAGGCTACTGCTCACTGGTGACTTACCACGTGAAGAACTGGACAAACCAGTTAGTCAAGGTGAGTTTGGAGAGGATCGACTTTTGTATGAAGCGGTTGTACAAGAGATCAGAGAATTGGGGATGGCCACTGCTCTCGGATGTCTGGTAGTTCTAAAAGAGAAAACGTTTTCCGCATCGAATACTGCTACTGAATTGCAAGAACTCATGGCCAAGCAAACTCGAACAGTGGAAATACTCGAACAGCGATTGCTAGAGCAAAAGCGTGAGGCTGAACTGTTGAAAGAACAAATTCAGAAAATTACCGAGTCTTCGAAATCTGACGAGCCAAAGAAGTCGATTTCTCGATCGAAATCACATTCGGGAAGTCTTCGGAAGCGTCATCCTCGAACGTCCGAAAGCGAAAAGGGGAGTGTGGGGGATTGGAACAGTGTCAGCGACAGTGAAAATGATACCGAAGCCTCAGAGACCCACGAATATGATCGGCCGTCAGCGAACCGATTGCATAGTGCACGCAATAAAGCAGAAGCTATGCGCAAGGTCTCCAAGCGATCAGAGTATAGCAACCCGAGTATCTCGGAAGATGTTCCTAATTCTAAGCAGACGACTGTTCGAGGGGCTGCTTTGACAACGGAAGGGGAAGAGAGCTCTACTCCTAAGACGTCGGGCAGTGACTTGATTCGTAAACGAATGGAGCTCTTATGCAGTGGAAGTTTGTTTGTTAAGTACGGACGCTATGGAAAGCCCCACGTGCGCTTCGTTTGGTGCTCTTCGGACCTCGAGTATCTCCATTACCGCCAAGTGAACCGGACAGTTCCGAAGGCGACTATACCGACGCGTTCTGTCGTGAGAGTTTGTAGTGGTCAGGAAACTCGAGTTTTCGAGCGCGCAAAGCAACCAGAACGGGCGCCACATTGTTTCTCAGTTGAATACGAAGAGAGCCGCACGTTGGATCTCGAGGTAAGTTATGGATTTTAGAAAAGGATGAGGTCCTAAAATTTGACAACACTTTTCATCATTAGGTTGCAGATGGTGAAAGCCCTGAAGTCAAGAAGACCAAACGTAACGACTGGGTGGAAGCTTTACAATTCCTGCTCAAGCTGAAAGCAACTTCTAGACGAAAAACTAATGATTCTACGGGGTCCATTAACTAGATTAAGTCAAAACTACTTGAGAACGAAGTACCACCCGTTCTATCCTTACTTGCTTAGAAATCTCCAGCAAAAACCCAGCGCACTTTCTCCGCCGTTCCTCCGATTCATGCGGTCCATGAACGCATTGTTCGTTTGGACTCCAACCCCTCAAGTCGATTTGATACTACCTGGAAGATGTCAACTGCTTCAGTCGTAGCTCTCATTTACCTCTTGTCTTTCGTGGCGGCTGACCAGCCGAGTACCATGGTGATCTCTGCTCAAGACAACCAAATGAAGGGCGTAATCGCCGGATTGCGAGGACGTGGCACTTTTACCAATACCAACACGGTGATCACGGCCCAAGATAACCAAATGAAGGGCATTGCCCACAGATTGCGAGGAGCTGGCACTTTCGTGCTTGTCGGTGTGGTCACCAGCACGAATTACGGTAAAAGTAGCAATGTCTTCAACAAGGTCCTCCTATCGAAGAGCGACCGCACGAAGCTTGCGCAGACAATCTAAGAGATGATGACAAACAGCCCTGAGACCGGCTTGAGCATGGAAGCCATTTCCAGTCTCTTGTCGCGTGTTGCGACGATCCCTGGGGTTCTTTCTAACACTGCGGGTATCATTTCAGCGACAAGAAGCGGGGACACTGGTGCGTTAATTGGTTACGTTGTGCCTTTGCTTAGCGCACTTCCTGCTACTTTAGCGTCCACCTCGGGTTCTCCAATGATTTCACCGACCGTGCCAGTCATTGTCCCCGTCCTGACGCCCACTGCTCCTATGGCGTCACTCTACGCTACGACAGCTCCCACTACGTCGGCCTAAGTGAAGCGGATCAAAACAACGGATTCTTTCAAAATATTTCTGACGCTATTTTCGTAATTCATTCTCAAAAACGTATATTTGCATTTCTTTAGGAATGGAATTTAAATGCTACAACCCACGAGCGTACCCTTTACATGGTCGGTCGATGGTAGTTGCCATTTACTATGGCTTGCAAGTCAAACTGCACTCCTCGCAGCGTCATTTTAGACGTGGACGTTCTTGCCGTTCAGCGAGTTGAGGATAGTCAGGACGTCACGAAGGACACCGGTGGCGCTAGCTGCGGCACCGGTACCGGAGCCCTTAAGAACCAATGAGTTGGGGTACTGCACCGACGAGAAGCCAAAGGCGATCTCGTTGTCCTTAGTGTAAAAGGCTGGGTGGTCCTCACTCACCAGCAAAGGCTGAATCTTGGCTTGAATGGAAGGGAACTTGGACAGATCGATGGAGGCAACATAGTGGAGACGCTTGTTCTCTGCTACAGCCGGTGCGTAATATTTCTCATGGAAAACCTCATCGTAAGCTTGTAATCCCGAGACAATGTCGTCCACTTCCATGTCGTTAGACCACGTGATCGTATCGAGCACACTTTGAGGAATTAAAGGCTCCAACTGGACAGCGTTCGGGTTAATGTGCACACCAAGAGCACGTGCCAACACGACGACCTTAGCGACCATATCTGTACCGGTAAAGTCCTCACGAGGGTCCCGTTCGCAGTATCCTTTACGAAGAACTAGACCCACCGCTTCCGAAAGTTTCTTGCCCTTCATGACCTCATTAGCGACGAAGTTCATGGACCCACTTAACGACGTCTCGATACCAAGAACGCGGTCGCCTGTACGCAAGATGTTGCCCAGTGTGTCGATAACTGGGAGACTGGCACCGATCGTTGAAGTGTACATGAAGAAGGTGCGGCCAGTTTTGGCACGGGAAGTGGCTACACTCTCACGTGACGAGGTCGGAGGTAGACGACACACGGAGCGTGCGTTCGACGCGACGACGTGGATACCACGTTCGATACACGCCGAGTACAGGTCTTGAGTGTTGCCCTGCCCAGAGCAGTCGATCAGGATGGGGATAGCCAAGTCTTGAAGCTCATCCAGCTGCTCTAACGACGGAGCGCCAGCGTACGCACTGGATACACTGACAGATGCAGACACGACGGTAGTAGTGCTCTTACAGTCTTGTAAACGGGTGATAAGCTCTTCGAATGTAAAGCCCTTGGGGTTGTACAGGAAGTCGCAACAATTGGAGCCGAAGCCCACGATGTTGACGCGCGTTTTGTGTTGATATCGGTAGAGTTCTTGCTGTTTCTGGAGCTGACGTACGACGCCCAAGGTAATGTGGTTGCAGCCTAACAAGACGACGTTGGTGACGAGATAATCGACGTTGAACGCGTCATGTACACGACGCACTGCCACCTTCGTGTCGACCCCACGGATGACACAACTCAAAGACCGCGAGCTGGTCCCCTGTCCGACTGCTAGCACTTCAATCCCTGCGTCTGCTAGAGCGCCGAAGAACTTGGTCTGGTTATAAGGGACCTTGGACAAATCTTCCGCCACAACGGACAACATCGTCACAGGCGACTCGGAATTAAGAGGATCTACTTCATGAGACTCAATCTCAGTACTCAACTCGGCATTGATAGCAGCACAGGCGATGGCCTCAGCACCACGAGGCACCACGACACTGATGGCTTGTCCGTGAGCTCCACGGATCGAGAGCCACACGGGGATTTTGAGTTCTTCGAGAGCTTTGGTCACACGAGCACCGATGTTCTCCTGTTGATGAGGGTCCGTACTGCCGTCCTGTAGGATACGCGTACGAGCTTCGATGATCGCCAGGTTCTCCAGAGACGTCGTGCAGGTCTCTCGTGTACCCGAACGTCCGACACCGCTGATGTACGTGCCGTGGCCTTTCGGGTCCATAGTGTTGCGGATAAGCATCGTCACGTCGCCCTTAATTAGGGGCACCATAGTGCGTGCGTGGAACATGCGAGTGCCGTATACCGCAAGCTCCAGAGCTTCGTGATGGTTTAGATGTGAGAGAGCCACCGCACGGTCTACAATACAAGGATCTGCGGTCATAACACCCGAGATATCGGTGTTAATTAACACGTAGTCGGCGCCCAGAGAAGAGCCCACTAAAGTGGCTGTGTAGTCCGATCCATTACGTCCCAATGTGGTCGTACGACCACTTCGGGTGCTACCTATAAAGCCCGTGATAACCGGTAAAGTATTGGGCTTCCAGTGCTCGGATAACTGCTGTAGCTTCTCCTTGGACTCGTCAAAGAGAACCTTGGCACAGCCATGGGTGTCGTCTGTGGTTAGCCAGTCTCTAGCGTCCAGGAAGAAAGCCTCGACGCCTGATTTACTCAGCAGCTTGGCGACGATATTGGCGCTGATACGTTCGCCAAATGACAGCACCGTGTCCGTCGCTGCTGCTGTCTGCTCCTGAAGGAGACAGATACCGTACAGCAGCTCACGGAGAGGCTTAAAGTGGTTCAAAATGACCTCAGTCATGTCCTCAATGTCCGCCACTTCAAGTTCTTTCTGTGTATCATGTGCGTTCACAAGCGTCTGCGCCTGAATCTTGTCCACAACTGTCAAGGCGCTGTCGGCGTCTCCTTTCGCTGCGAACGCTACAGCTTCTAGTAGATGATCGGTCGTGTGGCCCATTGCAGACACTACGACGGCCAAGACGCGATCTCTCTCCTCGCGGACGATGCGTACAAGGCCGCAGAGTCTCGACGGACTGCCCACGGATGTGCCGCCGAACTTGTAGACGTTGCGCTTGCCATTGCGGTGATCTAAGTGGCTAAATTCAGCGTCGGCTGCGCCTGAGAGCGACAAGGAGTCGCCGTCTAGAGACAGCGGATTGTCTAAAACCTCCTTGGGCCAGTTGGCGCCGATGAGCATCGACGGAGACGTACAGTCCATCTTCGCAGGTCCGTTCGTGAATGACTGGAGTGGGTCTGTTGATACGAAAGGCGATGGTGACTAATTCGGTGAGGTGATTGGTTAATTATAATAGATTCATGCTGCGGCATTGGATTAAAATAGAAAACAGTTGGATTTGTGATGTCCGGGCTGAAGTTTACGGCGTTTACGTCGTCGAAAGCGTTGAGCATGGTACTCTACATTTGGACTTCATGGGGGCAATAACGTCCCCGACGAAAGTCATTAACGATGAATCTGCTGCTAAAGCCAAGGAAATTCGGTCTAAAAACACCGCAGTTAAAGCGGATTCCGAGCGTCGAGTGCGGTCGTGGTATGCGCACATGGTGTTGATCCACTTGTCCGAGTTTGGCGCTGAAGCCGCGCGTGGTCTCGTACTACCGACGCTGTTTACATATGTACAAGAACTTGGTGGGGGCATGACGGATATCGGTCTTCTCACTGCCCTCTTCAGTGTGGGGAGGTTCTTCTCGTCGCTCTTGTTCGGATGGCTTTGTGACCGCACGTCGTTTCGAGTGCTGTACAATGTGGCTGGAGGGTGTGCAGTACTAGGGAACGTGTTGTACATCTTGCCATACAGTCCGTCAGTACACAGTAGAACGGTGCTTGCGTTAAGTCGATTTGTCATCGGATTTGGCGCCGGTAATCGAAGTGTTTGTCGCGCTAACATCGCGATGCTCACACGAGTGGATCAGAGACTTCAATACTTCACCCTGTTTGCAACAGTGGTTTTCCTAGCATACGCGTTAACTCCAGGACTCGGCAGTGTCGTTGGGGACACAGAGATCAAGATGGGAGGCGATCTGATCCAGTTTAACCGCTTCACAGCTCCAGGGTTCCTGCTTGTCGCACTCAATTTGGTCACAATCGTCTTTAACAACCTCATCTACGACGACTCAATATCTCGCGATGACGCTCCGGACTCTCCAACAATTGTCGAGGCTACAGCTACTTCATCACCGAGCAGCACAAAGCCAACCGAGACGACTCTAACTGTTGTTGTCAATGATATCGACGTTGACAAGAAGGCATCACAAGCTATTCACAGAGAGATAGCACCGTCTATTCTCTCGGATCGTGCGGTGACAGTGGGGATGTTGGCGTTTATCTTCTTAAACTTCATCGCTCGTGGCATTCTCTCGATTTTCGAGACTGTCAACGTCCCGCTCTTCCTGGAAATGACCAACCGAATGACTGCCGCGGAGCAGGACTCGGTGGAGGCAACACAAGATGCATCGACGTTCTACCTTGTAGTTGGTCTGCTGGGATTGGTATCCTACGGCTCCGTACAGTTCCTACGCAAGAAAGTGTCCGACGTGAGTTTCTTACTCTTCGGCTTCTCCATGCTACTCGTAGGCAACGCAATTCTCTTGACATTATGTGCGGACATGCACGTAAATAACGCGCGAAGCGATGACGTGGATGAAGATCATTCTCAGCTTCAATTTAACGTCTTTGTCGTTGCTGAAGTGTTCGTTTGGAGCATTGGGTGTCCGTTAACTTCGGCAGTAGTGGTGTCTGCATTCTCGAAAGTGCTCGGTTCAAGACCTCAAGGTTTTCTCATGGGCGTATTCGGCGCGTCTGCGTCTGTAGCACGGATGGTGTTGCCATTCCTGCCCAGTTTATTGGCCTCTTGGCCACTTCTCTTCCTTATCAGTATGGTTCTGTGTGCGATCTGTATCCTCGTACTCGCACTCTATCTCGGATTCATCTCCAGACAACGTGCGGATAAACTAACGGTAACTTACGATAGCGTCCAATTACATTCAGACGGACGGGAACAAGTTTAAAAATAACGTTAATTACAAATACATGTAACCAAATAAAGATCCTTTTGGGTAAAGAAAAATGGAGCTGAAAGTCACGCTGATCTGTGGACGTGACTACAGCGTCTTGAGCAACACGGTACTGTCGTAAATACCAATTTATTCGCTGGACAAGACAGCAGGTTGCCTTCACGTCGTGGGATCTGTTGGAATCCCTTGACTCGGTGTCTATTAGTATGTGATATTGACAAAAGCTGTGTGCACGCGTACGCTGTCAGCTTCGGACGTGATGATACAGGAAAGATGAAGATGCTATTGAACCACAATAATCCTGTGGGGACTATCGGGAGTCACGGCTCTGGACCAGGTCAATTTAACTATCCCGTCGCGGCTGCTGTGAATCTTAGAGGAGAAGTCGCGGTAGCTGACGGAAAATCAAGTCGCGTCCAGATATTCTCCGGGAGTGGTGAGTTAGAGCACTCATTTGGACGTCCAGGCTCTGCACGAGGGGAGTTTAAAGGCATTAGTGATGTAAAGTTCACGCCACGAGGTCATCTTGCCATTGTGGACTCTGGGAATCATCGGATTCAAGCTGTGAGTGCAACGGGGAATGTTGTCCAGGTGATTGGTCAACACGGCTGGAAACTTGGACAGTTTGTCAACCCATGTGCTCTAACTGTCAATGGAAAAGGCGAGTATTTCGTGTGTGATGAAGGTAACAAACGCATCCAGAGACTATCGGATAGAGGAAGGCCTCTATTGGAGTGGGGAAGTCGTCGTGGACCCATTCCGGAACCTGAAATGACACCGTTTTTGGCTACGAACGATGAACGTCAACCAGTAATTTACTCGGTATTTGACGCCCCGTGTGATGTAGAAACTGGTCTTCATGGAGAGATCATTGTGTGTGACGCTGGAAGACGCGAACTTCTGGTATTCTCGGACGTTGGAATCTGTCTCCACGTTGTCAGTGCACCTCAGATTTTCCAGACGAACAGTCCAACCGCAATAGCGATTTGTTCCAATATGTTGGTGACAATGACTAAGATTAAACTGGACGATCAGACCGGCGACAACAACAATTATATGCTTGCAGCTTTTCCTCCTGAGAAACGAGTGCGAGTTGGACGCTTTGAGACGATGCCAGTGCATTGCGCTGTCGATATTGCGTGTTATTTAACCTACTCCGACGCCCTGTATGTGCGCTTAGTCAGTCGCTACTTCCACCAAATCTGTCGGCACCTACGCAACCAGTGGAAACTCTTCCCACTCACTCCAGGACATTCTACTATAACGAAATACAATCGAGTGGTGTCACCAGCTACTGGTCTGATTGCAGTAGAAGAAGCTTTCCAGAAGTGGGGGCTGCGCATTTATAAACCATCCAATCGTATACGGAAGCACGTGATGGATTTCCACGGAGGTTTTTGTCGTGCTCTCAGCACGTTGTACGGTTCGATATTCTGTTATCAATACGAAGACCTTCTTCTGGCATTTTTTAGATTCTTCACGTCATCGACTTCTGAGTCTTCTCATGAAAAAGAGGAAATCGATAGAGCTGCGTTTATTGAAATTGTGACGCAAATTGAAGAAGTGCACGCAGAAGTGCGTACTTGGGAACAATGTACTCCTTTTTCTCTATGCACGGCCAATGCAGTGGCTTTGCCGAGGATAAAATTTGTTGAATACCAAGCCGTGACTTCTGGTGAAGTACCGCTACCGAAATCTCTCCAGCAAATTGAAAATGCACAGCAACACCAGCTAAAGAAGTTGCTACAAAAGTTTGTAACATTGTGACGAAGTACTGTACTTGCTGATAGAAAAATGCTGCCGATACACAGTGGGGGGACTCGCTGGGCCGGGTGTCTCGCTGAAGTTGACTGACTGAACTCGTGCAAGCGCCGTGGATTGCACGGTTTCAACTTGCTCATCTTTGGAAATGATAGTTTTCTTTTCTTGGGCTTTTCTCGGATGCAGCAGGGTCGCGCACAACCAAATACATACCCGTTAAACGAACCTGCAGCAAAATATTCGCTATTTCTCCAGGAATTATCGTTCTAACGACCTTATCAAATTGCAAATAACATGTCAATGTTGCGTCGGCCCACTGTCACTTTACAGTGAAGAGAAGAATTCGCGTCCGCCAATAGTGACGGGGGGTTCGTCGTTGACAAATCGGAACAATGACACTCACTCAGCCATTGGAGCTGGGGACGCCGAACACAAATATCCATAACTAGTGACAGTAGTGCGTCTTCACTGAATCAGATCGATCGTTTCCTGCGAGGGGGAGTCTTCACTGTGAGCCCGCGCTTCTCGGAATTTATTGAGCTCCTTCGCACGATAAAAATCTCGTTTAGGAGCAATGCTGGAGTAATAATGAATGCAAACCCACGACAAATAATACTCGAGCACCATTATTTTTTTATCTGTACGCAGCCAGCAATATCCTTTAGGAGCAACAGCGCCACTGATATTAAAACTGGTTCCATCAGCTTCTGGCATCTATCGTAATTCTACATGAAGCTAAGATCCAATGATGTACCACACACATCGTACACAAAGCAAACATAATCATGAAGATCAAGGTGCTCTACTTCGCGTCGGCGCGAGAGGAGATCGGTCTGCGCGAGGAGACGCTGGAGACGGACGATCGTAAGAGCGTCACACTAGCATCACTGCGTCGACTGCTAATGGAAAAGTACCCACAAGCTGCGGCCACTATCGAGAGCATCACTCTGGCGCGTAACCTCGAGTACTCGGAGGACGACGTGGAAGTGCAGGACGGAGACGAAGTAGCTCTGATCCCGCCCATCAGCGGTGGATAAACACAAGACCAGGAAATAAATGCCATATCCAAAAGGAAGTCTACAGTTACACAATTATTCACTTGGTCTTGAAATTCTTTTAAAAGTGCTTGACGCCCACGGTGCGCTGAAAAATGTTCTCCAAATCACGTCCCATTCCGGTAGTCGGTGGGGCGACCAGCAGCTTTTGTGTCGCCCTGGAGCGCAGCCGCATGATCCACCGTAGACCTTTGTATACGACTGTGAGCGCTGCCATGCTCACCATGAACTGGACGATACGCACACGACGCAATCGGCTTTTTTCTTCCTCTTCAGTCACTGGAGGCTCACCATGTCGAGGATGACCAGGCGGGAATGTTGGTCGTGGTGCTAGCATGGCCGCTATACCAGCGCACACGGCTCCTATCCGTTCAAGAAAGTGGACGAAGCTCCCTGTCATTGAGCAGCACACACAAGTGGTAAGCATCCCAACGCTAGCACAGAAGATAAAAACACTTAAACTGCCACACACCAATGCAGAAGTTGAGCGCCTCTGCGTTCATGCCGAGCAGCTCCGTGATTTGGCCAATAGAGCTCACAATCTGGTTAAAGCTATTGAGCCATCCCAGACCTCCGCTGTTCGGGTCTGCCATGCCACCGCCCATCATGCCTCCGTAGCCCATTCTCGACATGCCGCCGTAACCTCCATAGCCACCTCCGTATCCTCCATAGCCACCTCCGTAACCTCCGAGTCCTCCATACGAGCTCATCCCACCGTAACCTCCTCCATATCCTCCAATACCTCCATATCCCGTTGAGCCCATCCCCGTACCGTAGCCACTCGCGCCGTAGCCTCCATATCCTGTTGCTCCGTATCCCGTAGTTCCGTACTGAGGCGCGGTGCCGAGCGCTGGTGCCCCGTTCGTCGCCGCTGAGGCTGTGAACAACCCCGTACTACCAGGAGCTACGGTGGGAGAGACTACAGAGCTACCTGAGGCCAGTCGAGAGGCAGTAGACGCTGGGGACTGTGGTGTGACGCCAGCAGACGCCAAGATGTCACCGCCTGTAAGCCACAGAGACCATTAATCGGTCAAAGATGAGACTCATAAAGAAGGGAAAAATGCTCACTAGCTTGGGCGGCGGCTGCTTGGCGCTTCTCCCAGGGCTTGGTAGGTGCGGCGCCTGCGCCGGAGCTTGCCATTGCTCACGTAGTTGTTTTTTAGACTGTGACCTTGTGACTCAGGCTTTCTATTCTGATGAAAATTCACTGCGAAATCGAGTTAATTATGTGCTTACAAAGTGACAGTGCACTTATTTTTCAAATGCTTTTTTTTAAATTTCAAGGAAAGGGTTCTGGAAGTTGAAGTTCCCTCTTGTCAACGTTGACATAAACCTGGATCACTACATGTACTTGGACAGCGGATCGACACCGAAGCTAATGCGAGAATTGCTGGCTTGGCAATCTGGAAAGTGTAGAGGAAATGTTGTAAAACAGCCAAAACTGTATAGCCACCAAAATTAGATAATCCTGGGCTAGATCAGACCGCTTTCTCCAGAGCATTTCTACCAGCTCCGACAAAAGTCAAGCTCGAATGGCATTTGATAAATCTGTGGAAGGCAACTTGGTCACAGATAACAATAGTGCGTTTCCGACTTTGCGCACGATCAAACTCTTGTGGTGCTGGAAATCCCACGTGAACTCTAGCTACAAATGTAGTTAGGACTTTCCCACAACAATACGTCTACTAGGCTAGTAAACGATCGTTCGGGCGGACCTGAAGACCCCATTTCTGCCCTAGCACCGGGACAAACTGGACCTTTTAAACTACTTATATAGGCCACTTAGTAAAAATAAGAACACGCTACTAGCACGGGCAAAGTTAGCAGAGCTAGCAGGTGTTATGAATCCTCGTGGTCCCAGCAGCGGAAGGGTACCAGGCACGGGTAAGCCTTTTACGAGATCACCGAGTGTTCAACACTCGGTTGGAAGAATAAAAGGGATGCAATACAAGCACTCCCAGTCGTGCAAATAGGCAACAATAAGCCGTCACGTAAAACCTCCCGATAGTAATCGGCCAATACACAAAGTCTCTTGGCCTTGCCGGGTGAGCCCTCGCTACAGAGCTTCGAGCTCACCGACATGCATAACACACTCAAACAAGCCTGACCAAACGCTTACCTTGAAGTCGGACGTCGCTCTGTGTGCTTGAGTGGAAATTCTGTTCTGTATTTAAGCTTACCCTATTGGGTCTATTCCTAATAAGAAGTCCTAATCAAGTTTACAAATATCAAGTGAACAATGATCCGTTATGGATCTTCTTGCACGCCAAGCGTCGTCTGCCCCGTCGCATGAGCATCTTTAACGGCCCGCGCCCTGTCCCAGACGGTGTACGTGTCTTCCAAGGGTCGCTGAGTCTTTCGCGAACTCATCCCAACCGCCACCGAGGGTTCGTACCGTAGATGGTCCGCTGAATGCGAATCCGGCCAGTCCATTATTAATAATAAGGACAGCCTGGATTAAGTGATATATGAACCGTATTCAGTATCCGTTGAGAGTTCGGAAGTGACGCTGTCGAGTCCCTTGCACCTTGGCGTCTCCGTACATCACATGACCGAGGGTTCGTCGCTTGAACATCTTGGGCGGTGTCACGTCTTTGTCGACGGGTGATAATCCGCAACTACGGAGAAATCACTACACCACAACTGCCCCTGTCGCAATGGAAGCCACGGTACTGGTGCCCGATGTGACATTTCTTCATTCTTTAATTCACCATCCAGTCACCATGTGTCCAAGCGTTTGAATCGAGCCGTGTCCGACGCGTTTCGAGGAAGTGTATCGAAGCGTGGTTGTTGATCCATCTCTGGATGCCAATGAGGTTATCTCGACCTGGCGTTCGTTGTTTGACTCGCCACCGGTTACTCCACGTCCCGCTCCGGCTGCTGCTCCTGTTGAAGCTGGTGCCGAAGATTCGCAGGGTCCGGCTGCAGCTCCAGCTGCCGAGGCTCAGGTTCCTGATGAATAGGAGAAGGAGAGTGGTGACTCGACTTCGTTGGCACTCTTGGCCACCGCGGCCAGGCAATTGGAATCGCTTTGAACCCTCGCTGCATGTTCCATGACGTTATCTAGCATCTCAGCTAACTGTTGGGGGGTCCCGCGAGGTTTCGTTTTCAGTGGTCGCTCCTCGGCCGGCATTCATGTTTTCTTATTCTCAATATACTTCCATTGCGTAATCATGTTCATGTTGTTCATCAAATGCATATACAATTTGTTGTTGCAGTAACGTTTTTCGTCTGTTACCATAGGCTGCATCGCCCTGTGGACAGCTCACACGTGATCCAGTCACGCTAGTCTTCGTCCGCTACTTGCGCCATCTGCAGCCGATTCTCGCTCTTCCTGGCTCGCAAATAGTCGTACAGTAGACCTCCACATGACAAGTTGGATGCTGGCTCCCAAGCTGGATCTTCATAATTAACCCACTTGACTTTGAACTCGCGTACAGCACGCTCCGTGCTCGTCGACAGGGGTGTTCTGTCGTCGAGGATGGCCTCGACTTCATATTCACCGGCAACTTGATCTGGTTCCCAGCTGTCTTCAGGCAACAGTTCCTCGTCGAAATCGAGTCTTGCTTCAGTAGTCGCGTCTAATACCAACCGAGTATACGGTCGACTGTTGAATTCGTTGACAGCCTTGAGTCTTGACACATGCACTACTGGGTAGAAGCGATACCCACTTCGGTGTGGCAGTTCCAGCTCGTACGCAAACTCTTCCACCTTGCGCTTGATCCCAAAAGGTCCATGCCACCGGTGAGCTAATTTCTTCGTCAAGCCCGGTTTGACAAGTTCCATGTACAACCACGCCCGGCTCCCAATCTCAAAAAGAGATCTCGGTGGGGCTCTTGCAAGATCTTCTATCTCTTCCGAAGCTTCTGGAGGGTCCACCGAGTGTTCGTTTCCACTTGGTTGAGGTACAGCGGCCTTTTCCAGTCGACCCAGGGCATCATTATGTTCTTTAGCCCGTCGCTCCTTTTCTACAGCCTCATAATCTTTGGCCATAGTGCGAGCGACCTCATGTTGTCGATTGATCTCACGCCTCCACGCTAGTGCGTCAGACTGCTTGCCGAGTCCTCGTTTTAGTGATGACGACATCACCCGCAACGTCGACTGCGCATCCCAACCATGGACGAGGTAGAACGGTGTTTCCTTCCTTGTAGTGGCCTGATAGGTATTAATAGCAAATACCAGCTTCCCCGCGATTTCGACCCAATCTTGCTGTAGAGGGTCTTCCGCGTACACTCGTACGTAACCCATCACTGACTTCACCGAGCGTTCCTGCTGTCCATTAGCCTGTGGTAGATAGCTCAACGTTGCTCGTAATCTTGACTGCATCATCTCTGCGAACGCCTGGAAAACCTCGCTCATGAAGCGGGTCGCGGTCATGCCTTATTAATGATGGGGCTTCGAACCGTCGGTACTCTTCGAACACTTGGGCAACACTCAGCGCAGTCGTATCAGACATAGCTTTGACGATAACGAATCCCGTGAACGAGCACTGAAATAGGAGCAACGCCGTGTTGCCCCTGCGAGATTTCGGTAGTGGGATCACAAAATCCATCGAGACGGTCTGGAAAGGTCGTTCGGCTAGTACGTTGCCAGGCGAGTATCCACGAAGCTGTGGACGGCTTTTACTCGAGCTGCAATCTGGACATGACTTCACACGCTTCTCCACGTCAGCGTACAAGCCGATCCAATAATAATCGGACTTTACGCGATGGACCGTTCTCACCACACCTTGATATCCACCTTCCAGCGAGTCGTGATAGTTCTGTAGGACCTCTTGAATCATCGTTGTCGGTACTACTAGCCGCAGCTTGGTCTCCTCTTGCCAACCGTGGTCGTACCGACGATTCAATCCGAGATAGTGAAGCACGCCGTCTTCTGATAACACGAACCGGTCAGCGTACTTCCAGGCATCTCGCGCTTCTTTGTAACTCAGCTCTTCTGCTTGGCCCTGCAGTACCTTCTTGATGTTAGACCACCTCTGCTCTTCGTCTTATGCCACCATTATCCGTCTGCGTCGTTCCCGCTGTATTGCTACCGGGTCAACATCTTCCGCATCAGGAAGTGCCGCTGGTACAGTCTTGTGAGGATGGTCTGGAAAATCTTCGCCGATTGAATCTTCGTTGGACGTCTCTCGTCGTTCTTCATGCTGTTTTTGAGCTTTTGAGACCCCCTTCGAGTGTTCATCGGCGAACCTGACGCGTTTCTTGGCTTTCGTCTGCCGCCTAGTCATCACTGCAATATTACCATAATCGCAATCTGGTGAGCTGTAATCAACCACGAAATTTTCGAACGTTTTCCACTCTGAAGACTCGCTGCCTGACAGTACATGATTATTAGATTTTAATGAAAAATATGTATAAATAAATAAACTCACGTAATAACTAATATTACCAGTTATTACGTGAATTTTTACCATTTTGACTTTTTGACGCTCTGCTCCACGTGACGAAACATCTACCGAATCTTCATCCGGCTCGTATATCATTTCCTGGATACGATTCAGCGACGCCAATTCCGAATGGCGAGTTTCAGCTAAGAAGACACGACTAATCTTTGATTCCAGTGCTTCAGTGGCTAACGAATCCGCGGCAGCGCTGTATTCTCGTATAACGTGAAGATTATAACTGATCGAAGCTTGGCCGCGAGTCCTTGTGAGAATTCAACAGCGCTAGCAGACTTTCCTTCCTGCATGCGATCACCCCTCGTGATTGTTGAATCGCGAGCCTTGCGTCACCAACGATGACTAAATTCTCGGCACCGTGCGCAATAGCAGCCTTGACACCGTTAATCATCCCTGTGTACTCTGCCTCATTCACCGTGGTGGTCGAGAGGTAAGCGTTTGCAGCAATCACTATCTTCCACTCAGGAAAGCTCCACAACACCCACGAACAGCTCCCGTAGCCACCGTACTTCTCTGTCTTTGCTGATCCGTCAAAAGACATAACGAATCCACTGTAATTACGGGGAAGCCTGGCGTACAGCAACTCGGGGTCCATGCGAACAGTCCGAGAGCCCTTGTTTGGAGGTGCCACCGGCGCGAGTGAGTCTTCCAGGTCGACGAAGCTCGTGATGCTTGACTGCAGGAGCTGTGCGAAGGCGACATCCTTCTCCTTCACGCGCTGCACCTTCAAATGCCACTGC